AGTATTACATACTACAATAAGTCTCTTTATTACTATATTTCTTAGTTTATTGCTTTGTTACCATATATCTCTATTAAACTCTTGAGTATGTCACTGGAACTTATTGTACCAATATGCAGCAGAAAACAGGAGTCAAATGAATTATAAGCAATTACAGAAAGATGTCTGAACTTTCAAAGAAATATGTCGGCAGCCTAGGCAAACAGGAAATGGGGAGAGCTCCCAGGTGAATAACTGGAACTTGGAGATAAACACTCTGACTTAGGGATAAACCCCACTGCAAAGCACTGTGCTTCAATGTGGAACGGTTTCCTGCAACCCACAAAATCATCAGCATCCCAGCTTCACCTTAGCCACTGTCTTCTTGCCCAAGACAGAAATGTGGATCAAGAAAAGGTCTTAAACCTTCCTTAACAGTCAAGGGACAGGAGAACTGATGTGGTTGGGGGAAGGGGGAGGGGAGGAGGGGAGATTCTTTTCTACAAAGAGAACCCACCTTAATCAGAAACAGATTTCCAAGCCTTGTAAATCACCAGACATAATAAAATATAAAAAAGAGGAATTTACCTTCATTCATGGATAAAACAAAAGCCTAAAAAAAGAACCTCAGCACATTAAAGTCTTCTAAGCTCCCCAAAGAATATGGCAAAACAATAATCATAGTGTTCTTATTGAATTAAGGAAATCAATAAAAGAGAAATTCATTAAGAATAGATAAAATATGAGAAAAAATCCAAATATAAATTTTTGAGCTAATGATATAGTTACTAAACCAAATAAATAAATGGGCCCTCAGAAGCTGAAAATCGAATCAGTGAGCCGGATGATGAGGTAAACTAAATCATACTCAAATATCTTTTAAAAGTGTAGATGAAAATACAAGATTTGTGGGATAGCAACAAGAGGAGAAGCATTCACATTTTAAATTTAATCAGATCAAAACAGAAAATCTGAATGAGTCAGTTACAAGCATAGAAATTGAAATAATAATTCATAGTCTTCCAACCTTTCCCCCTAAACAAAACTTCATGTCCAGATAGTTGTACCAAACCTTCAAATATGACTTAATACTTTCAAATTTCTTCAAAATATTGAACATTTGAATTCCTTCAATTTCATTTGAATTCCCCCAGAGATCAATAGCACTTTTATAAAAAGTAGAGGCATATCACACACACACACACACACACACACACACACACGAAACAGATAATTATAGAAAAATATCCCTAATAAATATAGATACAAATATCCTTAACAAAATATATCCCTTCAATTCATTAAAGGGGTAGTTTATCATGACCAAGTGGGATTTATTCCAAGGATTCAAGGATGATTGAATTTATAAAAATTAATATAATATACTACATGAATAAAAGCAAAGGTAAAATTTGTGTCATTATGTCAATAGGTGCAGAGGAAACTATTTGGTAGATTCAAGATTCATTAATCATTTAAAAAAACACTCAACAGTGGTTGGAGCGATAGCACAGTGGGTAAGGTACTTGCTTTGCACATGGCTGAGCCGAGTTCAATTCCCAGCATTCCCATATGGTCCCCTGAGCATCGCCAGGAGTAATTCCTGAGTGCAGAGCCAAGAGTAACCCCTGTGCACCAACAGGTGTGACCCAAAAAGCAAAAAAAAAAAAAAAAAGAAAGAAAACACTCAACAAAATGGAGATAGAAAGACGAAACCTCAATGAAGTAGGGGTCATGTACTGTAGACATACCCCTAGTGTCATACCCAGTGATAAAAAACTGAAAAAAGTATATCTTTGAATATCAGGCTTATATAAAAATGCCTATTCTCATCTATCCATAGTAATTAGTTAACAAATAAAATAAAATAAAAAGCATTTGAATTGAAAAATAAGTTAAACTATCACTATTCCCAGGTGTCATAAAAATATACATAGAAAACTACAAAAAGTCCACTAAAACAATTTCAAAATAAATCAATATTGTAACCCAGCAGACTTAAAAATCAATACACAAAATCTATATGGAAACAAGAAAAGAGAATAAATTAAAAAAAAACCTTACGTCATTTACAGCTGCATCAAAAAGAATAAGATATCTAGAAAGCTAATTAACAAATGAAATAAAAAGATGCAAGTGACAATGGAAAAATGTATGTGACTCTTAAAATAAATTTTAGATTCTAGAAATTGCAAAGATAGTTCATGTTCATGCGTTACAAGAATGAACAAGTAGGCCAGGAGGGAGTCATAAGCAGGAGATCCAGGAATAAGGAAAGCCATTTCGGTACCCGGGGCTATAGTAAAGGAAAGAATAGGTGATCAATATTTGGCATATTTTAAATGCCTGCTGCAGTAGAGTGACTAGGTGAATAATCTAATGTGTGTGCTCTGGAAATACACACAGACCAAGTCCTAGAGCTTCGCTTAAGGCTAGAAGCTTACACTTTGGAAATGCCTAGATACTTGAGGTTTTCAGAAAACCAGGAAATGGTCCACTTTTCACTATCATTTGAATTCAAGGACTAAACTGTTGTAGGCCAAAGGAAGAAGTATCATGTGATTAGCTAAAATGCACAGAGATGATGATGAAAATCCAAGATGATAAGAGGAAGTCTAAGCAGAAATGAAACTTTAAACAAAAGAAACCAAAAAATATATACTGAACACTTACTAAATTTATAGCACAGCTATTCAAAAGATTTAATGTTAACTTTCCAAATGCATGGCAAGCAAAAAAATTGGAGGTATTTATTTCACTGTAATCTTTTAACAATGAAGTAACTGAATTTTTTTTCAAAAAGTATTGACTTTTGTCCTTAGAACATTTTCTTCTTTAATAACTTTATATTCTTTATATTTTTTGTATGAGTACTGCTATTTATTCAGCCACTGATTAGCTGATTGAATTGGGCATGAACTCCACCTTAATTTTTTATTTATTTTTTAATTTTTATATTTATTTATTGAATCACTGTGGGAAAAGGTACTAAGCTTTCAGGTTTAAGTCTCGGTCATACAATGATCAAACACCTTTCCCTTCACCAGTACTCATTTTTCACCACCAAGAACCCCAGTATACCCCCCCAAATGCCTGTGAAGCAGATGATTTCTACTTAACTCTTCTCTATATTGATTACATTTATTATTTCGACAAAAGATGCACCATTATTGTTTGGAATTTCCCCCCAAACAATCAGAATTGCTGAAAAGGCATTGTGAAATATTTTGTTTTCTATAGCTGTTTATGAGAATCATATAATGTCATGTGGCTACGATTTTGAATTTCTGCAAAGAGCCAGATAATTACAAGATTGGGTTCTGTATGTCTGGACATACAACCGCCCTCCTTCCCCATGAGACTGCAGTTGCCCCGTCACCGTCAACTCGTACCTGGCTTTCCTATAAGCTCTGAGGTGGCGGCCTCCTTGCTGCCAGGGGGGAAAAAGGCGGAAGGGAGCAGCATCGTTTCCCTTTCTATAGCTGGTTATGAGAATCATATAATCTTGCGTGGCCTCAATAGCGGCCTCGCAATTTTGGATTTCTGCAAAGAGCCAGATAATTATGAGATTGTTTTCTGTGCGTCTGGTGTTATGGCTGTGCCAGAGAGTCGCTCTGGGGGGCAACTCGTGACCTCTGTAGGGCTCGAAGGACAAGCCGGTACCACCCCTTTCCCATGAGACTGCAGTTGCCCCGTCATCACTGGCTCATACCTGGCTTTCCAATAAGCTCTGAGCCGGTGGCCACCTTGTATGCAGTCCAGATGCATTTCTACCCAAAGCCTCTGGGTTTCAAGATTTGTTCTGAGTCTCCAGTATCATGGCTATTAGTCAGCTTGATCAGGAGCCAGAGAGGCTGTTTGTAGGCGGTGACTCGGGGTCTCGTTGGGATGCGGAGAAAAAGTCGGCTCCACCCCCATGTGGTGAGGCCTCATGTGTCTCATCACTGCAGGCCCAAACCTGACTGTCCAGTGGCCTCTGGAGGATGGCAGTCACCAGGCCACCAGGGGGAGCAGGCCAAGGCACAAAACCTAATCCCACCTGGAGTGGCCCAGCACCAGTAATCTACTGCAGGAACAGGACACATTTCTGCCAAAAGCCTTTGGGTTCTGAGATTCACTTCTGAGACTCTGGGATCATGACCATTAAGCAGTTTGATCAGGAACCAGAGAGACCATGTCTCCAATTATATAGCTGAGCTGAAAGTGGTTTGTGGGTGTGTCTCCCACATACCTAACTTTTGGCCATTTACTTTCTTGGTAAACTTTGCCCCAAGTTTTTGGGGTCTGGCCATAGGCACAGCAGCAATTTTGGGGTATTTGAAAGTTCTGACATTGCCATCAGGCTGCTGATGCACTCATCTCACAGGTACAGATTGACCTGCTGGCGGCACCATACCCCCATAACTTTATATTCTTTTTATTAGTAAAAAAGAAGTATGAACATATTCAGAAAAGAGAATCAAAGAGCAGGGACCTAAATAAAGACTATACATATTTTCACACTTCCTTTTATAAACTTTTGAGAACTATGACCTCTTGTTTCTCTCTCTCTCTCTTCTGGAAAACAAAATTCTCCACTTTCAGGAATTTTTTTGAAAACTGTATGGTTAATTATTTAAATTTTTATTGATAATAATGATAATCAAGTAATATATGAAATCATAAATAACAAAAATAGCAAGCAATAACATTTAAATGCATTTCTTAAATTGAAACATAGAAATCGTCACTGTAATTATTACCGTAAACACCAAAGATGATTTGCATTTCTCACATTAAGAACAGCTGTGGTATTAGATTTAATTTGTTCTCATAAAATATTGACTAAAACACAATAAATAGTAAGAATAGCACAGGTAGCTCAAAACTAATTGAATGGAAAGAATTCTAGTGGCTTAAAATGAACATTTCCAAAGGGACTCTTCAATTATCCAGGAGGTCTGTAATAAGTTAAATCTCACTAGATTTCATTATTTTTTGGTTATCAATTATTTGAAAACCTAGCTTTTTATCCCCCTCAGACTTGTTTGAAACTAGGCTATGTGCAACATGGCAGACTTTGAGCCCTTTGAAGACATTTTCAGTATTTCTGTTCCTACTTTTATGACTACCAAGACCAGTGTTCAGATCTGATAGAAAAAGGAAGAGGAGATATACCTAGAAATTTTATTGATTCAGAATCTAATAAGTGCTCATGGCTTACACGTTCAGGGGACACTTCTGACTGAACTCAGGCAACCACATGGGTTGCTGGGATTTAACTTGGGTCAGACACATGCTAGGCAACTGCCTTACCCACTGTACTACCTCTCTGGTCCCATTCTGCTTTTCAATCTATACTTGAAGAGCAGCTTCGCCATCAAGTCCTTCCTTCCCAGGTCCTCTCTAATGTAATCTCATTCCATCTGAATGATCCTTTTTCTTTTCTTTCTTTCTTTTTTTTTTTAATTTTTATTAGTGAAACACCATGAGGTACAGTTGTAGACTTACAAATTTTTGTGCTTGGGTTTCGATTATACAATGATCAAATACCCATCCGTCCACCAGTGCCCATTTTCCACCACTATGGATCCCAGTAATCCCTCCCACCCCCATCCCCCTCATCCCACCCTGCCTCTGTGGCAGGGCATTCCCTTTTGTTATCTGTCTCCTTTCGGGTGTGTGGTCTGCAAAAGAGGCATTGAGAGGCAATCATGTTCAGTCCATAGTCTACTTTCAGCATGCATCTCCCATCCTGGGAGGAGCCTCCAAACACCCTTTATTTGGTGCTCCCTTCTCTATCTGAGCGGCCCTTTCCCCTAGAATGCCCGGCTGGCCTCTAAGCCATGGAGTAATCCTCTTGGTACTGATCTCGGCTATTCTTGGGTATTAATCTCCTGAATGATCCTTTTTTCTATAACTCAAGATCAAGCCTCATTCAAGCAAAAGGAGCTATTTGGTAAGTACTGTTGGTACAAAATTGAAGCACATTGCTTATAATGATCTCCACCTAAGAGTTAATGGGAATAACTGGTAGTCTTTATTCACTCTATTAGTAGGAAAGTGCTAATCTATGTCTAAGACAGGCTGAACTTGAGACTAATGAACTGCTCTCCACACTGTACTTCACACTTTTGCTTTCAAGAGTTGAAATGTACATTTACCAAGAGCTATTTGCTCACAGATGTGCATAGTCCAGTTATAATAATTATTGTAATTTAGTGATGAAAATTAAATTTTACAAGCTGATTCAATAATGAAAAAAGGAAAAAAGGGTTTCCCTAGGGGATAAAAAAGGCCGTTTCATTCAGAAAGATTTGCAAAAGGCAATATACACATAATATAGGGATATAGCTATGTGCAATGAGACAGCTCTAAATTTTTAGGGAAACATTTTTATTAAAACCTTTAAAGATTGAGTTTACAGGTTGCTTTACAATTATCCTTAAATTCATATGCCTAACTCAAGAGATTGAACCTGACATCTGTATATGAGACAATAAAAATGTAGTTTATGAAAGTAATAATTCACAAAACTCCAATTTGAAAAGCATTTCAAGGAAAGAAATTTTTGCTTTTAAGTCAAAAGATTCACTTTTTATTTCAAATAAAAATTTTATATGTGCTTAAATGATACTTTATGATTCTCCATGATAATCTTCTGAGTCTCATCACTGCTAATTGAATCAAATAACATGGATATTTCTATATCACTCTAGGACAAGACCCAGTACAAGAAATATAAATTACATTATAGTACTGAAATTACATTTATAGTACTGAGAAATATAAATTTCATGGATAGGTTATTTTCTTTTAAAATTAAAATCTATCGTTTTAATTTCCCTTCATTTTATATACCATACTTAGATCTTCTGGAAATCCAACATATAGTATAACCAGAAAGCTACAAAATACCTCAGGGAGTTCTTTTCATTCCTATCTGTTACCTGAGACTAAGGGAGAAAAAAATGCATAGATCTCTAGCCTATTTTCTGTGCACAAACCTGGAAAATGTTCTTCCTAATAATAAGGTCATAAATTTGCCCCATACCAATAATTGAATCACTAGAAACAAATTTAAAAAATTGTGATTAGAAATGAAAAACAAAAAGCTTGGACAAAACATGAAGACCTTAGAACTTGGAAAGGAAAGTGAGTCAACTAGTTGGTGTATCCTGGAAGTTTATCTTATAAAGAAAATCTTACCCATAATTTTCAGAAATGGATTCAAGAATCCATTAAAAGTCTTTTCATAAGAAAAAGAAAGTTGGCAGAAATGATCAATTTTCTGCTTCCTTGTGTTAACTCAACCTGTTTTTCTGGATTCCACCCTTGGGCTCTCCTTGGAAGTCAGGTAGAGGGCCTCTACAGGCCTGTTTAGAGTAATCAGTTGTGTTTAGAGCTCCGTTGACACAACAATCTGAGGTATGTGGCCATTTCTAAAAGGATAAATAGACCTGTGGCTTCCCAGATTTCTCAGAAACCACCTGATTTAAAGCAGCCTCATCATGGCCAGCCAGTCTCAAGGGATCCACCAACTCCTTCAGGCAGAAAAACGGGCCAAAGACAAGCTAGAAGAAGCCAAAAAGAGTAAGTCTCTGTTCAACCCCACCTGTGAGGGTTTTGTCACAGGGAGGGGGAGGCAGGATCAGTGACAAGCATAGATTCCTGAAGCAACCAACCCCAGTTGAACCCCTGGCTTCACCGCACTTTCTGTGAGTCCAGAGCCTAGAAATTGTCTTCCATTGTTGTAGTGAGGTAGCGGTGGCCTGACTCGGTGCTCTGAAGAGACCCGAAAGCTGAGTAGAAAGATCACAGTCATGGAAGTTCTGGAGAACTGGACATAAGACTCATCTCTGTAATTTCCTTCAAGCCATGCCCCAGCTTCTCGGTATTGTGAAATGGTTAAGAGCTAGACAACTTCTAGATCAAATCTGCTTTATTAGTGAGGAAGTTTGAACATTTTTTTAAAAACTCTGTAAGCATAAGTTTCTCTTTTTGTAAAAATTGGATAATGACGGTTAATAGCTCATTTGCATTCCTCTTGTCACTTCTCATTTATAACATTTTAAAATATTTCCTTTTTATCCTCATTTTCTAACGTCCTTTTTGTTCAGTCATGCATCTGTAGATTCACACACAGAATGTTCTGTAAACTCCAACCCCCTTCCTATTCACTTTGATATTCACAAGTAACCATTTGAAGGAGGTGTTTCTATTACTTATGCAAACAATTAGAAAAAAGAGTTCATAATTTGTTCAAGGCTGTATATGCGGTTTTTATTTGTAAGAAAATTTTCACAGGCATTTTTCCTAGTACCATATTTACTCTTCTTACTAACTCTTTTTGCAAAGAGGAAAGAAAGTGATGCTTGGAATTTATGAAATTTGCTCAAAGCCATAGGGAGAGTAAAGGTAGAGACAGGATTAGGATAGGTTCTCATTCCCAGCCCAAGACATTAACACCTGCATTATACCCTTTCAGAGTGTATAATAGTGAGTAAACTAAAGTTGATCTCTAGCTCAAATATAGGTTCCCTCTGAGCCAAGACCTATGTTTTCTTCTCTCCCATTTATATCACACCATAAAGCAATCTTATTACCTAATAATCTATGTAACTAATTAAATTTCCTCCACTGCAGTTAGATTAGAAGTCCAGGGAGATAAGGGCCATGACTTAAAACTGTCACTGATCTCTCTGAATTATATATAAAAGAGGGGGAGGTGCCAACAAGAGCTTGTCTACATGCATTGAAAGAGATGCAAGGAAAATAGATTTTAACGCAAGGAAAGAAATCAGAACTGAGACACTGCTTCGTTCATTGGGGTTTTCCACCATGGATGTAATTATTTTCTTTCTTAAGATAAATTGATTTTCTGAACACTCAACAATGCACAGATGTTAACTTAAGAAGAGACCTTGTATGGTGATAGAAGCAGAGAGGATAGGGCAAGTAACTGAACACCAATTTCTGCTACTTCTTAATTATCTTTTCTGCAACAAACTACATAATGATTATAAAACGGTGTATATGCAGCATGATGTTTTAAGCAAAGCAACCCCAGATCTGCTGGCTGAAACATTAGGCAACTCCCTTTGCTTTATTCAAATTTCTTTGACCATCATATGTGGTATCAGGGATCACCCTAGCACTGGATGCGTGCAAGGCAAGTACCTTGCACCCTCTTTAACCCTAGTTTTCTCCTCTCCCCACCTCCTCCTCCTTCTCCTCTTCTTCCTTTTCCTCATCTTCCTTTGTTGCTGCTGTTCTTGTTGTTGCTGTATTTACTGTTCAGATTAATTGTATGAATAAAGAGGAAAACCTGAATTGTTTTTATAAAGATGACAGAAAAGCTTAAAAAATTGCCTTTATTCACTAATATTGGATTCAACAATACTTATTAGTTAAGACTCTAATACAAAATTTTACGTGCAAAACAGTCTATTTTGTTGAATTCAGGTAGAATCAAAGTAGATTAGACACTGTTTTAGATTATTTTAGTTAAAGTTAATTCCTTTTACATTAAAATAAATACTCATTAATCAAAGCCCAGAAGTGAGTGTGTCTGCAACAAGCTCTGTTTTCACAACAGACCATCACACTAGTCCTGGAGCTTCCAGCCTGGGACATTGAACTGAATCTTCAGTGAGAGTTAGATAGAGGTAAAACAGGAAGAGCAAAGCTTGGATTTCTCTAAAATACATGATACTTTTGCTTCTTGTGATTTCCATGAGTGTAATATGTACTTTATTGTGCCATTAAAAATGAAGAACACAGGCAGAAGACAAAACAGATCAACAGACTGTAGTGTATGTTTTGTATGTGGGAAGCTCAAGTTTGATCCCTGACACTGCATGGTCCCCCGGATAATTCCAGAAGTGACCTTAAAGTACTGCTGATTGTGGCCACCCTCCCCATCCTAGTCCCTAAAATTTTCTACAAAGGCAGTGCTCAACGTTTACATCTTTGAGTCAACTAGAATAGTTGAGAACAAATCCACTTCCTGCCTTCTTCTAGCTATACAACATTTGGCAATGCAGTTTTAATCATACTGTGCCTCAGTTTCTCAGCCTCAAAATGGAGCCATTCATGGTATTATGTTATGTAATTGCCTTGTGATGAACTGAGTTAGTAATTATAACTAACTGTAAGTACACAAATATATTAAAATTTTATAAAATATATTAAAATAGTAATCATTCATTTTCATGGGTCCATTGGATGCCAGTCATCAACATTTTTTAAAATTCAGCTAATTACCTATTTACTTCCAAAATACAGATAGTTATTTAAACAAGCATCTTGATTTAATAAAATTTTTTACTATTCAAATGGATGTTTTGGTTCATGAGGACATGATTTTTAATAAACTAATGAAGTAGGAGTCATTATGCTAGAGCTTTATGACCCTGCCTGTGTGTTTTGTAGGCTTGTAAATGTTTCCTAATTCTTTATAGTTCACAGACAAATGGGGAGTTTGAAAGTATATTGGACTTCCATATCTGTGAGCAGTTAACATTAAAATAATAATCAGAGAACATTTTCATCTATTAGTAGTTTTTTTTATATCCACCAAAGGATCAACACAAATTATCTACATAGGCTATTTTTTAATAATGGAATCTTTAGTGGAGGACAGGCACAAATAAACAAAGCACTCAGAAAGTAGAGGAAGAAATGAAGTATATTAAGGTCATAAGAAAAGTTCTACAACATCAGTCATCAAACAGAAGGTTGACTATGATATCAAACAAGAGATCAAAAGTAATGTCAAATAAGAGGTTGTTTAACATTGATTTTTTTCAGCATTTGTTATAGGTAGGAAAAATAGTAGTATTTCATGAACCAGGTCAGTTTATCATAAAATTAACAACCCTACAAAAATTTAAAAACAGTGTTTCTCTTGCATAGTAAATCAGAATAAAAATGTTTTTTGGTAACGAATCAAGATCTCTGAATAATAATAAGCTATTCTTTGCTTTTATAGCAAATTAAGGTCATCCTGCATGCTTTACAAATATGTTTGTCAGGTAATACATTCATTTGATTGCTTACTTTTTCCACAGGTATCTGGCTTTGTTTGCAATGTTCCACTGATAGCACAGAAAGCTTCTGCCACAGTTCCCTGAGATGTCTATAATTAATTGACACTAAAGGCTTAAGATAGCAGAAATGCATATCCACTATCATTATCACTATCACCCCATTGTTCATCAATTTGCTCAAGTGGGCACCAGTAAAATCTCCATTCATCCCTGTGACGTGCTAGTGTAGCCCGATGGCATATTGTGGCTCTTTCAGGGTCAGGGGAATGAGGACCATTATTGTTACTGTTTTTGGCGTAGCGAGTACACCACGGGTAGCTTGCCAGGCTCTGCCTTGCAGGCCGGATACTCTCGGTAACTTGACGGGCTCTCCTAAAGGGATAGAGGCCTTTGGGGCAGCTTCTAATCACCTTTACAGGTGTTTATCATATGTTTGTCAGGTAATACATTCATTTGATTACTTACTTTTTCCAGAGATATCTGGCTTTGTTTGCAATAGCTCAGAAAGCCTCGCCACAGTTCCCTGAAATTGCTATAACTGACACTAAAGGCTTAAAATAGCAGAAATGCATATTTTAAGAATATGAAAATCAATATTCTGGAGATCAGAAGTTTAAAAACAATATAATAACCAAGTTGGTTTATTCTAAAGACACTAAAGAAGACAATTCTATCCTCCAAGAATTGTCAACAATCTTTAGCATCCCTGGTCTTTGTAACTGCTGTCTCTGTATTCACAAGAGCTTCTTTCTGTCTGCTCTGTGTATTTAAGTCACTGTGTCAAATTCCTCTTTCTTTATAAGTATCTCATTCACTGGACTTAGGAACCATCTTAAGCTATATGAACTCATTTTAACTACTTCTGCCAAAATCCTATTTCCAAATAATATTGGCACTCACTAAACTTGCCTTTTGGAAGTTACAATTGAACTCAGCCACCTCTGACAAATGTACTTCATGGTCTTAAAATTTTGTCTTCTTTATTCCTGTTTGTTAGTGGTAATATCTTCAAGAAGTCTCCTATATTTCCTTTCTCTATATTCTTTCCATTCAATTTTTCTACTGAATCCACTTCAGATTTTTGACCTTACTTCTCCACCTATACATCCCTTGCTTAAATAACCAAATTACCAAATCCAATATTAGTTCAAAATTCTAGTCACATTGGATCCCTTTCATCTCTTAAACTTTCTTCTTTTTCATTGGACTACATTCTTTTTCTGCCTTACTTCTATCTTTGCAATATTGCATAATGAGACTCCAATGAAGACTTTTCTTTTCTCATTTTGCAGCCACTTCATAGAGTGATCACCTTGAATAGGTGTTTTTCAATACATCTCCATTATAATAATGTTGTGGCATAAAATTTCTAGCTTTGCTTGATTTTTCATCTCCAAATTTATCAAAACCTTCTCACCATCATCACTTGATGCCAATCTGGCCTCTCCATTAAAGTGCTTTTTTAAACTGTGCAGCCTGTTTTTTGTTTATATATGGACTCTGCCTTTAAAGCCTACAGATGCCCTTAGCAATGTCACTGCTACTTCACTTTTTATAGCAATCATGAACATCTGTCTGAACTATTGTAATAGATTTCAAATCTATCTCTCTGCTTCTCTGTATACCCTACAATCTATTTTTCTCACAGGAGCCAAAGTAATCCTTTTACACTGGGAGTATTTTGCCAGACTTTGACTCAAGACCCTTCTAGAATTTGTCATCTGAAGAACCAAAACCCTCACCCTGCCTCTATTGAGCTGTGTGTGACCTGACCCCACAGCTATTTCTAAATGTGGCCTCCGAGATGTTTTTTATTTCCATCCCTTGTAGTATTTGCTGCTATTGGCTGCATCCTACTTGGGACTATCTGTTTGCTGGTTTCCATTTCTACTCGGATCACTATTCGCAGGTACCACCTGTGACTCTTTCTTTTTCAAGTCCTAAAATTTTGGCATTGAACTAGGGAGGACTTAGACTATTTTTTCTCTTCATTCCTTGGATTTTAGACTGAACTCCATTGTATAGCCCGTACACAAACTCAGATCACTGATGCAGAAATGTCTATCTAGATCTTTTTCTTGGCTTCCAGACGTGCCTGTCCAGCCGTGCTTTTATTCTTCCTTTGGATGTTCTCAGAACTACCAGTCTGACCTGGTAGTCTCCTCCTGGTTCCCCATGCCGCATGTCTGGGTCTATTTATATATTTTATTTGCCCTGTGAACTTAAGATGCAACTATTAACATAGCGGAAAAGCACATTTCCTGTATTTTATAATTTTCCTCTTGGAAATCGGAGCAACATGTACACAATTCTAAATCCTCCAGATGGCTTCGTTGATGACAGCCTAAGGATTTCTTAAATGTTCTCAACAGTCACTACCTCTCTTCTCAGCAGAAGGTCCCCAAGGAATTGGACCTATTTTCCTAAGAAATATTAGAAGCAGTTTAGACCTCTTTGTCAAGGGCTTCTTGAATACTTTCTAATGACTCATCACAGTCAATTATTAATCCATTTTATAGCTGACAAACTTGGGGTCAGAAATTAATTTGTTCAAGATCATGTGGTTTCCTAATGCTTATTTCAGTAATGACTATCATACACTTGATTCCCTTCTCAAATAATAAAATCTTCTCTTTTTTTATTTGTTTTGCTTTTGGGGTCACACCTGGTGATGCACAGGGGTTCCTCCTGGCTCATGCTCTCAGGGATTATTCCTGGCGGTGCTTGGGAGACCATATGGGATGTTGGGAATCGAAACTGTGTCGGCAGTATGCAAGGCAAACGCCTTACACATTGTGCTATCACTCGAGCCCGGAAATCTCATTTCTATCATGAATGTGACTCCAGAATATTCAGAAATCCAGTTTTCTGCGTCCTAGAGTTAATTAATACTGGGAAAATTCAGTTAAATTGGCTCTTCCTAACCAAAACCCAGGAAGAGTTTATCTTTGAACCCTGTCCTCTGTTTCCCACACAGAGTTTAGTTACAACTGTCTTAACTGGATATTTCTAATCCTTTCGCCAGAAATCACCTGGAAACCAATACAAAAAATGCTTTCTCTCTTTTTTCTTTCCACCTTCCCAACTATGGACAGTATCTCAATTGTGACTTTCTAAAAGTAGGATGCATCTCTGTAGCAAACCACATATTTAAAAGTAAATGGCATTACTAAGATAAATCATTTTCATAAGGAGATCTGTAAAATACCATAGAAGTTTCATGTCTTTTTGTATAATTCTCCAGATGGACCAACCACTCATTCCATTATTGACCTGACTAATGAGTCTATTCTGCTCTGGAGGTTTCCTCCTCAGAAGTTCTTCCCAGTCGGACCTGATAGTCTCCTCCCTGGTCCCCATGCTGCATGTGTGGGTCTATTTATATTTTTTATTTGCTTTGTGAACATAAGATGTAACTATTGAAATAGCAGAAAAAGCACATTTCCTGTATTTTATAATTTTCTTCTTGGAAATTGGAGCAACATGTACACAATTCTAAAATATGCTCTATTTATGTCAACTAGAAATAGAGATATCATCTATCATCTGTACTTGCCTATCCTCTGTTTCTAGTCTTAAGGATAAGATACAGTAGGTGTGTTAGAAATGATATGGTAGATGTGGTAGAAATATTGAAATAATGATAGATGGCTGTACAAAAAATCATATTTGCTTTGATCACAGTAATTAAAACAGGAGATTTGCTTAAGATCACCACTTTTTCCAATCAGGAATTTGGTCTGCTCAGTCTGGCTGGCCTTGTAGGAATTCAAGATTAAATACTTTCATCCCACTATCAGTCCCACCCTCCATCCCATCCATGTTTGATACAGAAAGTACTGAGAGCAAAGACTCTGAACTTCTTTGGACCCCATGAATCATGGTATTCATTGTAAAGAAGAAAGAGGTGTTATTTTAAAATTGGGAAATCTTCCTATGCAGAGAAGTAAGCTAGAGACGGATTGAATGCATGCCTTTTTTTATTTTATTTTATTTTATTTTTTTACCTCCAGCAAAACAGCAGGCTGGAGACTTCAGTTTCTGCCACTGGATTGCATCTGGTAGAGTCTGTGCAGGTTTTCACAGAGACAACTGCTGAGTCTACACAAAAAATTGCTGTGCCAGCAGCAATTTCCCGGTGACTCTCCAGTTTAATTGAATGAGAACCAGCAGGTACTGGTGCCAGGTCCAAGGAACCACAGTCTCATTCGGAGCTTGTCACCAGGTGACAGAGCTAATATACAACCTCTTCCGTGGAGCACTGGATGGTGCCCAGGGGTAGGGCACACAGAACTTTTCCTATTAGTGTAACTTTTTTATGTGCTGGAGTCATGATTTTGAAACAAATATTTTATATGTGCTATTAAGATTGAGAATCATGATGTTTCCTGCAATTTTTTTAATAAAATGGTTGTGTTTTCTACACAACCATTACTGTGTTGAAAACTCATTACTGTGAAAATTTTAATGCATTTTGGACACATTTGCCCTAGTTTAATGATAAGCAGTGATTAAAAAAAAAGTGGAATAGTTTTACCTGCCAACTATGAGTAGTATGTGCCTGGTTGTCACAAACTTGTTAGAAATATAGAGATGAAGGAACTAGCATATAGAAAACTGTGATGATCATTCTGTTACTTAAGTAGGTGAAATGTAACTGCTGAAACTGTTCCTTTAAGCATAGGACATCACTGCCCTCCCGTTGTTCACAGATTTGCTCGAGTGGGGCCCAATAACATCTCCATTGTGAGACTTCTTGTTTCTGTGTTTGGCATATTGAATACTCTCGGTAGCTTGCCAGGCTCTCCAAGAAGGGCAGAGGAATCGAACCTGGCTCGGCTGGGCTGGCTGTGCGCAAGGTAAAGGCCCTACCGCTGTGCTATCACTCAAGCCCAAGAACAGAACATCAGAAAAGCATTACTTTTCACCAGGATTAAGGTTGTTTTGTTTTGTTTTGTTTGCTCAGGATTTACTCCAGACTCTGCTCCCAGGGATCACTACTGGTGGTATTTGGGAAACACGTGGTGCTGAGATTGAATCCAGTTTGGCAAATACTTGACCTACTGAATTATCTCTCTGAACCAGAATAAGGGTTTTTGGGTAAAGATAGAGTTGATATACATTTTATTTTGTTTGGATCTTTTATTTTATTCAGTGATTAGCATAGCAACTTGTACCTAGCAGGAAGAAAATTTAGGAATCATGTAATCTCAACTGCTACAAAGGTATATAAAAACATAAATGATGGGGCTGGGAGGATAGCACAGTGGGTAGGGCATTTGCCTTGCATACTGCTGACCCGGGTTCAATTCCCAGCATCCCATATGGTCTCCTGAGCACCACCAGGAGTAATTCGTGAGTGCATGAGCCAGGAGTAAGCCCTGTGCATCACCGGGTGTGACCCCCCCCAAAAAAAAAACATAGATGATAAAACTTCATGTTGGGAAGTTGCTTTTTTGCCTATTGAATGAAAAATTACTTAGTTCAAAGTCTGCATAAAGAGAAGCTTAAGAGACATCATCAGAGAAAAGAAAGAATTCAAGAAATAAAACAATGAAGGCCTTTAAGTGAATTTGAAACACAATAGATTTAGAGAAGAAAAGGATTTTAAATACACTGAGTTTCTTTAAAGTTTTAATGATCACAAAGCTTTAGTGCCTAATCCCCTAAAGGAGGTGAGGGTGGGGTACAGAAGCAATTAATATCAGCCTATAACCCCCCAAACTTACTCAGCTTGTCCAGGAAACAGTCCTGTGTTTAGCTAATGATCCCCATAGCATTGTGCTTACTTCAAACTTTCATCTCCGAAGCTGTCTGCTGGCTTAAGGCCTACACCTTTGCTCTTAATAAAAGGAAAGAGCTACTTAACTCAATCTCCTAACCATTAAAAACAATTGGTTTTACAACCACTTTCAAGTTCCCTTCAGTGAAGACAGCTTACAAAAAAACGTGTATCTAGATAGGCTTTGATGTGGGGGTTAATCAGAAATTCTAGAGCCAACAACTGGGGAGGAAAAAATACCAATAAAGTGGCTTAAAAAATTGTGAATCAATTTGCTGGCAACTGCATTGCATGTTGCAGTGCTTTTGGAGATCTGCCAGAATTTAATAGGATCCTCTGGTGTGAAGTGAAGGGTCCTGGCAGCAGATGGGGACAGAAAATTTAACCAAATAATGTCAAATTTGTTCTCTGCTGCTACTACTGTAAGAGCACAGATACTTATTTAAACATCAAAGTATAAATGTTGCCATTTTCACGATCGAAAGAATGCAATAAAAGGAAAATTTCAGTATTTACTATTTTTAAATGAAGTTTGCCATTCAAGAAAAAACAATTAAAATAAAAATAACAGTAAATTTTGCTTATATTTTTAAAAACAGATCTTTGAAATTCCATGACTATTAGAAAACCATGACTCCCCCTACTTTTCAGGAAAAGTAAAGCGACTCAAGCAAGCTAAGGAAGAAGCCATGGCAGAAATTGATCAGTACAGAATGGAAAAAGATAAGGAGTTTCGACTGAAACAGTCGAAGGTAAGTCAAAGTCAGCCCAGCTTTTGACACAAAATACATTTTAAATAGCAATATTCATAAGGTAGAATGCAAAGTATCAGCGTAAATACACTGTATTGAGCAGATACATAACAATATCAGATTAAATGTTAAATACTATAGAATTATGGATTTGCATTTTCATCATCAAGGTTTGTTTGCCATATGAAACAGCAATACAGGGGTTGGGAAGATAGTACAGTAATTGAGGCATTTGCTTTGCTAATTCTGTCCCAACAACACAGGAATGATCCCTGAGTGTTGAATTAGGACTAAGACCTGAGCACTAAGGATTGTGCCCCAAACAGAAAATCAATTAAACTTATTTTTGTCTGTTGATGTTTACAAGCATAATCAATAAAAAGTATGCACTTTACTATTGTGAATGGGTTTGTTAAATCAAATTTCCTTTGGTGAACTCAAGATTTACAAATGACCAATACAGAGATTGTTGAACATAGCTGAAACATTTCCTGGACTTATGAATGTGTTGTGTGTATGGCGGGGTGGGGGGGGTGGGGAATGGAGGGCATGGGGGCAGGGGAAGGAGAGGAGAAGATAGGGTTTGGGACCACACCCAGCAGTGCTCAGGGCTTACTCCTGGCTCTATGCTCAGGGATCACTCCTGGTGGGGCTCAGGGAACTATATGGGATGCAGGAGACTGAACTCAGGTAGACTATGTGTAAGACAAATACCCTATCTACTCTATTATCACTCCAGCCCCAGCATTTTTTTTATTTTATTTTTTCAGCTGGATGGCATTGTTCAATAACTTATTGAGGAAAATTGAAATAAATATTCTTTTCCACACTAGCATTAAAAAAGTCTCTGAATTTTGCAAAATAAAATACAGCATGAAGTTTGTAGAGCTGACATCCTCTTATCCATGTTATAAAATAGAATTCTTAAATTCCACAAGTCATAACTAAGGCTTATGTGATATTTTTTCTGTCTTTGTTAAAACAAAGATAGAGGTTTGTAACACTGCAAAATGAAATTAAAGTAGGTTGAAAATCACTGTTCGCAACTTTTATTTTAGCAGAAGTAGAGTTGGAGATTTTGTGGGATCAGGAAAATTGGATCCCATGATAGGAAACTATTTTCCAGTGGGATATTTCTTAAAATAAAAACTCCTTCTAGAATAAAATAAAAACTCCTTCTAGAATAAATAAATCAGCAAAAGTAAATTCTTCTTGTCAATATTTGAAAAAAGAACTATAAAATCCTAAATCCCTACAGGTCTAGACAGACCCACATAAATGGCCTCTGGAAATCTCTTGCCCGTAAGTTCTGAAAATTTCCTATATTTACTTTTTTTTTTTTTTGCTTTATATTGTAAAAGTCAGACTTTTAAGATCAATTGAATGAAGCCAGTCAGATCAAAAGTTTGAAAAAAGTTCATGATAAGATACAAGACTTTTTAACTGTATGCAAAAAAATATCTATTTTGGTCATTTGTAAGATGTTCCTCCACTGTTGTCGCTTCTCTTTCTAGAGTAGCCACTTGGTTTCTTGTTCTTCAAACACACTGAACATGCTCTACCCCAGAGCCTCTGCATATGCCATAGATACACTCAACTTATTTTTATTTCTACTTAACCATTGCTTCCTCTTCCTGATCTATTTATCTAAAGTTTTGTCTACAATTAAAAAGAAATTCCCCAATATTGCCGTTGTATCAATCACTGATGAATAAATAAGCTACATATTCACTTTTTTGCTTGCTGCCACTCTTTTCTTCTGGACCATGAGTATCAAAGGGCAGCATCCCCCTTCCACGCCCACCCCTTCCCCCAAATATACACCCATAGTTTTCCTCAATATTCAAGTAGGATTTACCTCTAGTCAGCAGATATTTTTCTTTGAAAAAAATAAATTTCCCTTTATCTTTTCTATGAGGTCCTATCATTAACATAGTACGTTAGGTCCTGAGGAAACAACTATTCTTGACATCAATCAGTTTTATTATACTACTAGATTTTTAAAAATGCATTGGGAGGGTCATGGTGTTTTGGAGGCTACACTTGATGATCATCCTGAAGCTACCCCCATCTCAGTTGCCTCTTGTGGTGAATAGGGAATCTTGAGGTGCTGATGATCAAATCCAGGCCTCCTGCATACAAAGCATACAGCCCAGCCCATTCAGCTTCCTCGTAGACCCTAATATACTTTAATTTTGTTTGGTGTTTTGGAGCATCCATCCCAGGTAGGGTTCAGGGAGCCAGGGAGACACTCCCAGTGACACTCAACCATCCTGGCAGATCATGAGGGATTTAGGCTGCACTGCTACTTCAGTCCTGCAGTGCCAGGGACCACGTGAACTCCCCCTCTCTGCCCTAGGGATGCACAGGGATATCCACGGCTGCATCAGGAGGCCACCAGGAACTAAGGATCAACCCCCGCCCCTGTGCTTTCCCTAGAACTTACATTTTAATTTTTTAAAATAATATCAACACAAACAATGGTATCAGCAAATGGCTGGGTTAAGGCTCTTGGAACATAATTTTTCTAGAAGGATCCCATAAGATGCAAATCTGATTGAGGATATTTTTCCTCAGCTTTGGAGAATAATTAAAAGTCCGCATTGCTCTCATAATTAGCACTGGGCCAATTATACAGTGAGTTGATCAAAAGCTCACAGAGAAAGGTCACTGTGTTTAGGCCTTGGCTACTTCAAGCATGTTGTAAAGCCATTAGCACTGCTCCTCTTTCCTTGCCATGACCTCCATATGTCTGACATGTTCTCTTTCCAGTTAAATCACACTATCATTAACCCAGGACAAGTGGGAGGTCACCCAGGACAAGGAATGAACCAGGTGACTTTTAACAGTAAACTCAATGTTACTTTTACGTTGCTTTTTCACTTTTAAAAATAAACAGTGCTTTTCCAAGTCCCTTGATTTATCAACATAAAAAAAATCATTTGAACTTGGGATATATACCAACAAATATTATTTTAGCCAAAATTAATTCATCCCTTTCTTCTCGTTGCAAACCAATAAAACATCTTGACTTAAAACAGATACCGCTGAAAGAATTTCTTGACCACAGTGAAAAATTCAATCTATTGTTGGTGCAGATAGAAGTTAGATGAGCATGAATCTAAACAAGACTGAACTGGGTAGATTGAAGATTTCTAGAGCTTCAATTTTTTTCCCTGATTTCATATCATGGAAGTATTTTGTTTCCCTGAAGCAATCACAAATGAAAAATGTAAACTGATTTACCTTTTTGGTACTTTAATGGTACTTTAACCTCTTCTTATGCTTCAGCTGAAACATTTGGACAACTTACAAAAAAAAAACTTAGAGTTGATATTTCATAGCATTTTGAGTAATTCTAATATGAAATTATAAACACCAGTCTCCATATTGAAATTTTGAAAACAAATAAGGAGAAATTCTATCTACTAGTACCTGTTACAGAATCATCAACCTGTAATTTATATTGTGTCTCAAACTTTCACGCAATATGCTTCTGCCAATATGAGTAGTAGAATACAAGTAATAAGTTTCTTATAATACCCAAAGACCTGGTCATCCCAGTGAGTTCAACAAATATTTCCTGAGCATATACCGTGGCCAGGAATTGTTTGAGACGTTAAATGCATATTAGCAAACAAGAGGATACTGACCCAGCCTTTTGCAAACTTAAATTGACTCATTTGAACTCGTTAGCTTAAATCAACACTCTGCCTGCAAACAAAAAAAAAATCACAGATTTCTTCCCAAGGGAGATCTATTAAAATACTGAAATAGTGTAAGATTGATTATACTATCTAGGAAGCATTGTAGAAATGTAAATTACATCAAGTCAGAAATAATATAATTATACAAAATGTGATATAAGATTCCAGATTATTTACAAGAATAGTCCAATATTTCTCGAAGTGTCTTGTTTAGATAACAATTTCAAGCAACACATTTTTTTAAAAAAAGTAACACTAATGACTAAAAACATTTTCTTACTTCTAAACTTCTATTCAAAGAATCTTCTTTATTACAATTTAATTCATAAAAATATTGCATTATCTAAACAAAATACATAGGATTACAATAAATATCAATTACTGCTGCTGACAGGGTACTAAAAGGTGTCATGCTGTACCCCTCTGGATTATTCAGAGACAGGACAAATCATCACCAAGAATGAGGCACACAAATAAGAAAAAAAGAGAGATCAAGAGCAATAGTTCAGTGGATAGGCCACTTGCCTTTCACATGACATGACCCACCTGGGTTGGAGCCCAGTAGCACATATAGTTCCCCAAACCCCACCACGAGTGATCCCTGAGTGCAGAGCCAGAAACCCTAAACACCACTGAGTAGGAGAGTCTCACCTCTCAGAAAAATAAAAGAAAAAAATGAGAAGTTTGTTACTGACATATATCCATCCTGTACTCATGGCAGTGGTCTAGCAGAGTATGAAATCTCAAAGGTCCAGCCCCATTGCCACTCAGAGAGGCCAATCAATTAAGAGACAATTAATTGAGGGACAGAGAAAGCCTGATTATCAACCAACCAGCCAACATGTTACAAGACAGCAGACTGATGTTCTGTAAAAACCATCATGTCTGTATGCTCAGAAAGATCAGTTTATATAGGAAAAGAACAAGGATGTTTGTTTTCAAGAAAAAGCAGGTTGCAGGCTGGTAGGTAATAAATGTTCTTGGTGCCTGGTTTTCAGAGGCACGAGAGTTTAGCCTATATGTTCCTTACCTTGTATAGATTTGGGGGAAGGACCCGCCAAAGGCAACATTCTCACAGTGCCAAGTCCAGGGGAGAGTTTGATTATTTCAGTTTTTAGTACAGCTCTTTTTTTGGGGGGGGGGGCGCAGTTACAAGCTGAGTAGTTCAAGTGTGGTCTGAGATGTCATCTTAGATGCAGAGAAATTTGGGAAGAAGGAATGGAAGATCTGTTGGATTATAAAAAAAAAAAAAAAGGACAGTTGGTCAATTTAATATCTGTGTTCTCCTTTCTTGGGCTGGAGCGATAGCACAGCGGTAGGGCGTTTGCCTTACAAGTGGCCAACATGGCCGACCCGAGTTCGATTCCTCCACCCCTCTCGGAGAGCCCGGCAAGCTACGAAGAGTATCTTGCCCGCACGGCAGAGCCTGGCAAGCTACCCGTGATGTAGCCAAACACAGTAACAACAAGACTCATGATGGAGACGTTACTGGGCCTGCTCGAGCAAATCGATGAACAACGGGAGGACCGTGACCGTTCTCCTTTCTTAGATCTTGCCTGGAAGAAGACCTTTAGAAAGATTATTATAAGCAATTATCTCATCCAAGTTAATCTCCCTTTTCCCTTCACAATCTCTCCGTTGAAATTAACATTTTGTTATATATTTTGGTGTGGCAGAGTTTTGTTTCCATATATTGCCATTTCCCTGTGCCTGCACTGTGAAACATAGTGAGCGCAGGCAGTTAGTAACCACTTAAAGTGTTAAAACTAAGATGTGTGCAGTACACAACAAATCACAATGATGATATTAAAAAACAATATAATACCTTTTATCTTCATTTTACATTAAAATAATATGGTATTTGTGGTTAACTAAACAACATTGTAAAAAATAATTGTTCCTATTTTAGGGTTTATTTTTTAGTATAATTAAAGCATTTCATTATTTTTAGGTTTGGAGGCCACACCCAAAGGTGCTCCTGGCTCTGTGCTCAGGAATTACTCCTGGCAGTGCTCAGAGACCATCTGAGATTCTGGAGATTAAACTGGGGTTACTACACTTGATCTTAGCCAAAAGGCCGAGAAGGGGGCTGGAGCGATAGCACAGCGGTAGGGCGTTTGCCTTGCATGCAGCCAACATGGCCGACCCGAGTTTGATTCCTCCGCCCCTCTCGGAGAGCCCGGCAAGCTACCGAGAGTATCTCGCCTGCATGGCAGAGCCTGGCAAGCTCCCCGTGTCGTATTCAATATGCCAAACACAGTAACAACAAAGTCTCCAATGGAGACGTTACTGGGCCCGCTCGAGCAAATCAATGAACAATGGGAGGGCCTTTACTTTACTTTACTTAAACTGGGGTTGGCTGCATGCAACGCAAACACTCTAACCACTACTCCTGGCAGTACTTCAGGGGTCACATGGGATGCTGAGCATCAAACCTGGGTCAGAGTCATGTAGGGCAAATGCCCTAACAGCTGTGCTACTGCTGTGGCCCTTTGATAGCACAGCGGTAGGGCGTTTGCCTTGCACGCAGCCAACATGGCCGACCCGAGTTCGATTCCTCCGCCCCTCTCGGAGAGCCCAGCAAGCTGCTGAGAATATCTTGCCCGCATGGCAGAGCCTGGCAAGCTCCCCATGGTGTATTCTATATGCCAGACGCAGTAACAACAAAGTCTCCTAACTATAACATTTTTAATTACTTGTATAGTTTGCATTGAGGATTCTAGTACATTTCTTTTAGACAACGCTCTGAATAATTTGTAATCATGAATGGTTGACATTTTTACAACAATCCCACAAAATGAGTGATATTATCCTCATAAAAATAATTTTAAACCTCAAGGCTGACCTGAATTCTTTTAAAGTCTCATACAATATTATAGTAATAGCTAAATATAACTATTTTGACAATGCTCCAAAGAAAAATAGACAATACTTACAACAACTGGCCTAAGTTTTTCAGGATTTAAGATATTGGCTTTAGAGGGTTGGGAAAAGAGCTCAAAGGCTAGAGCGTGCATGATTTACATGTGGGAGCCCAATCTTACCACATGTGTCCATGCCCCAACCCATGCTAGAATAGCCCTAGGCACCACAGGATGGCCCCCGACCCCCACTAGCATGTGGATATAGAAAACCTTGGTTTGGTAGAATATCACATGATATAATTGATTTAAAGGGAAAATTAACTTTAATGCAATTTTATTTTTTTTGGTAAGCAGTATTCTATTATGAGATGTCTTAGCAAGAGAAATAGGCCTCTGCTTCTTATATACTCGTTTTTCTTTTGGAAGCAGAAAGGTATTAAATGAAGAGGGTAGGGTGGATCATTTGAGTCTTTTCGACAGATTGAAAGGACAGTGTTGCATCATTTGTTGCTCAGGCAAGTTCCTTAAACTGCTCTCCATTTTGTGAAATGTGAATATTAATACTGCTAGCCACAATTTAGGCAACCTACCCAGGCACTGACAAAAGGCCTGGTAATTAGCAAAAAATTAACCATTACTGTTAATGGGTGACCTGGAGCGATAGTACAGTAGGTAGGGCATTTGCTTTGCATGCAGCCTTTAACATACATAATATATATGTATATATATATATGTATATATATATATATGTATATATATATATATATTTCCCTTAGGATATTCATTGAGAAACTAGTCACAACATTTCTTTCTGGGTCACACCCAGCGATGCTCAGGGATTACTCCTAACTCTACACTCAGCAATTACTCCTGGCGGTGCTGGGGGACCATATGAGATGACAGGGATTGAACCTGGGTCAGTCGCGTGCAAGGCAAATGCCTTACACGCTGTACTATTGCTCTGGCCGCAAGCCACAACAAATTTAACTTGTCTTTAGTGTACTTTACCAAATGCATTTGTTTTATTTTGGTAGATAATGGGCTCTCAGAGCAATCTCTCGGAAGAAATAGAGGAGCAAACACGAGGGAAGATCAAGGAACTGAACGGAAGCTACAACAAGTACATGGAAGAGGTGATGAAACAGCTCCTGAACATCGTCTGTGATGTGAAGCCAGAAATCCACCTGAACTACAGAGCTGCTGACTGAGTCCTCTTGACTGAGTCCTCTTTACTTCCCAATAAACACTGCTTGATTGCTGTTTAGATATTTATGTCTTTATGATTATATTAAGAAATTTGAAATGTTAATTGCATTTTATTTGTTTTTGTTTGGGGGCCTGGCGATGCTCAGGGCTTACTCCTAGCTCTGTGCTCCAGGATCAGTCTTGGAAGTGCTAAGAGGTCTGGAGGTTCTGGGGATTGACCTCAGGTTGGCAGTACACAAGGCAATATTGCTCCAAACCCTAGATTTTATTTTTTTAGGGTTCTTTGGGGGATGGGGCCTACCTGGCCTCTCTCAGACACTACTTCTGGCTCTGAATTCAGGGTGACTCCCAGTAATGCTCAGGGGACTATTTGATGCAGGAACTTGAGCCTAGGCCTCCTGCGGACATAGCACATAGTCAGTCTTTGAGCTATACTTCTGGACCTGAAATGTAAAATAATAATCCATGAAAACATAGATTTCAATTTGACATTAGTACACAAGCGCTGAATTTAAAATTAAAGTTGTTTCTTGATAAAAGACATGACCTTGTCTTTTAACTTGGAGTGACTCAAGAATACGAAGTAACATATATTTTTTGTCAGCAGATAGTAAAACAAGGACCCAAGCCATTTTTTAGTGGGTGTGAGAGCTTTTTTAAAAATTTCTCTGGACCTGAGGTATAGGTTAGCTGATAGGGCACTTGTCTTGCCCTTGGATGACCCAGGTTCAATTCTCAACACTACCAATGGTCCCCCCAAGCCCTTAAAGCAGTGATTTCCTAAAGCATAGAGCCAAGAATAATCCCTGAGCACTGCCTCATGTAGTTCAAACAATAAAACCAAAAAATTTTATTTTTTTCATCCGTTTAAGAAATGTCTTTTCAGTTATTGTTGTTGAACGATTATTTTTTAAAGGAGGATTATATGACTTATACAAATATAAAAAGAACATGAATTTAGAATTTTATTTACCTCATTAATTAGTGAGGAACAAGTAAAATGTTACTAGTAGTTACAAGCAGAATACTTTTTTTGGCAAGGGGCGGGGCGTGGAAACAGTCACACCCAGCAATACACAGGGGTTACTCCTGACTCTGCACTCAGGAATTACTCTTGATGGTGCTCAGAGGACCATATGGGTTGCTGAGAATCGAACCTGAGTAGGCCATGTGCAAGGCAAATGCCCTACCCACTGTGCCCCAGTCCACAAGCAGAATACTAATATAACTACTAGTTACAGTTACAACAATGTCGCAGGTAGTTGAAAGGTAATAGATAAAGAAAAATAATTGTATAACCATCCTTGCTACCAAACCCCAACTGACCATTTTCTCTTTAATTTTATTATTTCAATTGAAGTATCAGTTTAAAATAGTGCTGAAGTCAATTTTTTATAACAGAGGACTATTCCAATTATTCCACCAGAGTTTCAATCTCTCCACTATTATCCCACTGTCCCTTTCCTCTCCTTTCAACTCTCTTCTTTTCCGGTTATATTGCTCACATCTCAGCATTCGTTTCCATTGGACATTATCTAATCCATTTCTTTGTTCTTTTATAGTCCCATCCGGTATGTGTCTTTTACTTCCTATCTCACATCACTTTGCATGACACCCTCCAATCTCATCCAAGTTGCAGCAAGTTGTAAATGTTCATCTTTTCTCATGGCTGAAAAACATTTTACTGTGTTAATACACACCACAGCCTCTTTATCCACTCATCTGTTGTTGGGAATTTGGGCTGTTTCCTGATCTTGGCTATTGTAAATAGAGCTGTGATGAACATGGGTATACACATCCAAAAAGACATAAAATTAATTTCGTGGAAGGAAAAAGTCAATAACAACTATTAGCACAAATATTTAGACAAAAATAAAATAAACAAACAAATGAAACAACCTTTCAGGGATCTAGTGTATTAGTAGGTATATGACTAATAATATTGTTCTCCCCTCCCTCAAATTCACACATTGAATAAAATCCTCAAGCTTTTGGTATTTTGAGGAGAGGCCGTGCATGAAGATGCAGCTATCACGAATGGGGATAAAGTCTTTAACGAAAGAGCACAAGCTCACTTTCTTCCCACCACTTAAAGATGTGAGAAGTTGGTATGATCCAAATGATTCTCTCCAGAACCAAACTCTAGAGGCACCCTGTCCCTAAGCTGCCAGGCTATAGGACTATGAAAAACATAAATTTAAGCTTCTTAGACTTTGATATTTTGTTATAGAAGCCCCCAAATGGACAAAGATCTGCCACTAACTCAGTTACCTAGAAAGTTAATGGTTAAATTCATGTTAAGTATCAGGTCCTTTGTAAGTGGCATGGATAAGTTGCATAAAAGCCATTTGGCATTCACATTTCACAAAATGGGAAGCAGTTTAAGGAGCTTGCCTGAGAAACAAACGATGCTGTGCTGGCCTTCCAATCTGTCCAAAGGACTTCATCACTGCACCCTATCCCCTTCCATACTTACCATTCTACCTCCTTGAACTATTTCCTGATTATATCATTAAGATCACTAGCTTCTCTGACTTTCCAACATATTATTCATGCAGATCGATTTTAATTTCAAATCATATTTAATTACTTAATTCTTAGAAAACTATTCATAAATTCAATTCCAAATATCAACTAATAAGATCTCCAACTTTGCCCAATTTAATGAGCTCATTTCCAAGTGCTCACATTGTCACAGATAGTGGAACATTTTACTTCTTTTTTTTTGGGGGGGGTGCCACACCTGGCCATGTTCAGGGGTTACTTCTGGTTCTGCACTCAGAAATTCATCCTGAAAGTGCTTGGGATATCATATGGGATGCTAGGAATTAAACCCCATAGTCGAAGTGACATCTGCAATTGTTTGTTCATTGCAGCACTCTTTACAATAGCCAGAATCTGGAAAAAAACCTGAGTTCCCGAGAACAGATGACTGGTTAAAGAAACTTTGGTACATTTACACAATGGAGTACTATGTAGCTGTTAGAAAAGATGAAGTTATGAAATTTACATACAAGTGGTACTACATGGAAAGTATCATGTTAAGCAAAATGAGTCAGAAAGAGCGGGATAGACACAGAAAGATTGCATTCATCTGGGGAACATAAAGCAACAAAACAAGAGACTAACACCCAGGAATGGCTGAGATTAGTACCAGGAATTTTGCTCCATGACTTGAAGGCCAACCACACATGCTAGGTGAAAAGGAAGCTCAGATAGAGAAGAGAGCACCAAATAAAGGGTGTTGTGAGGACCCTCCCAGGGTGGGAGAAGCATGCTAAAAGTAGTCTATAGACCAAACATGATTGCCATTCAATGCCTCTCTTGCAAAACACAGTACCCAAAAGAAGAGAGAGAGAACAAGGGGGAATGCCCAGCCACAGAGGCAGGGTGGGATGGGGGGAGATGGGGGGTGGGAGGGATGCTGGGACCCGTGGTGGTGGAGGATGGGCACTGGTGGAGGGATGGGTACTTGATCATTGTATAACTGAAACTCAAGCACAAAAATTTATAAGTCTATAACTGTACCTCATGGTGTTTCACTAATAAAAAAATCTTTAAAAAAAGATAACAAGGGGTACTACATGGAAAGTATCATGTTAAATGAAATGAGTCAGAAAGAGGGGGATAGACACAGAAAGACTGCATTCATCTGGGGAACATAAAGTAACAAAATAGGAGACTTAACACCCAAGAGTGGCTGAGATTAGTACCAGGAATTTTGCTCCATGGCTTGGAGGCCAGACACACATGCTAAGGGAAAAGGGAGCTCAGATATACAAGGGAGCACCAAATAAAGGGTGTGGGGAGGATCCTCCCAGGATGGGAGAAGCATGCTGAAAGTAGACTATAGACCAAACATGATTGCCACTCAATGCCTCTTTTGCAAACCACAACACCCAAAAGGAGAGAGAGAACAAAAGGGAATGCCCTGCTACAGAGGCAGAGTGGGATGGGGGAATGGGGGGTGGGAGGGATACTGGGACCCGTGGTGGTGGAAAATGGGCACTGGTGGAGTGATGGGTACTTGATCATTGCATAACTGAAACTCAAGCACAAAAATTTGTAAGTCTACAACTGTACCTCATGGTGTTTCACTAATTAAAAAAAAAAGTCCACCTTCAACTTAATACAAGACTTCAAATAAACAGAGTAGTTTTCTGTCAAAAGAAAAAAGTAAGAATTAACCCCGACTGGCTGCATGCAAAGATAATGCAGTGCCTTATCCCCTGTATTTTCTCTCCAGCCCCAGACTATTTACTCCTTAATAAAGGTAAAGGATTTGGCATATTTCAGAAATAACTCACTTATCTCTGACAGATTTTTCAGTTACCAGAAACAGTTGACTTTTGTTGCACGTGTGCTTATCCAAAATGACTCTTTTGGTTTACAAGAGTCTTCACACTGCAATAAAATAACCTCCAATGAGATGTTTTTAATATACTCCTTAAGCTTTTGCTTAATCAGAAACTACAACATGGAAAACAACTGCATTGAATTAAAATCCCAAGTAGAAATATCAACCTTTCATAAAATTAAAGAGACAGGAAGATAGTTCTGGGCAGGAACTAATGTACAGGTGAGAGGTAGAGTTAGTGGCTGGAAGATGAGAAGGTTCTGATTTGATTAGGGAAATGGAAACACATCTCCAAGAGTGAACAGAAACATAGGAGAGGGACACAGAAATCATTCAAGAATTAAATACATTCTTCGGTGTGTGGGCAGTCCTCAGCACTGCACAGTCCTTTAGCTGAAACCCTGAAGGCCACCAAACACGAAATGTGTACCTTCAGGACCCTGAGCACCACCAGAGCTGGTCTAGAGAACCGCCAGAACTTGGGCACTGAGTGGCACTTTTCTGAGTCCTGCATTGAACTACCTGAACCAGAGTCTGATTGGCTGAGAATTGCAGGATGGCAACTCAGCACCTACTGAGCACTGCTTGGGAGATCCTCCCAAATAAATTAATAAATACAAATAACTAAGTGCATAGAAAAAACAC